AGGAGTGGGGTAGGCGGAGGTTTGCTCTGGTGCAGATGTGCCGCTGCGGTCAGTGGAAGAATCTGCGAGTTTCTCTGTGAGTTTCCCATTACTCATAGCACACTCGGTGCTTGCTTGGAAGTTTAGGGGGGGTTTTTCGCTGTAAGAACGGACACTAATGTTTTTGTCACTTTTTATGGAATCAAACTCAAAGTAAGGTCAGTACTTCCACGCTTTAAACGCTGCACGCTCAGACTCTCTCCCGCACTCGATATATGATGCACTGTTGATCTGCAGACAGCTGTTGTCACGAACGTCACTGTCATGAGACATTCTCACAAAAAGAATCACGGTTTTAGTAACGCAGTAACGCAGCGTTCCTACAGGAAAATAACGGTAATCTAATGACCGTTTTTGCAATAGTAATCCCTTACTTTACTCGTTACTTGAAAAAAGTAATCGGATGCCCATCTCTGGTTACATCACATAAGTATTATTATCATTGCTATTTAGGGCGATCTTGGCTCAAGAGTTGGCAGCTCGCCTTGTGATCAGAGGATTGCCGGTTCGAGCCCCGGCTCGGACACTCTCGGTATTGTGTCCGTGTCTTCAGCTACTAGTGATGGCCAGAGGGGCCGATGGTGCGATATGGCAGCCTCACCTTTGTCAGTCTGTCCCAGGGCATGCAATCGATTGTTAACCAACTGTTAACTGCATATTTACGTATTACGATTCATATTGCCACATTCACCTTGTTTATCGTTAATTTCATTGTTTGATCACGTTAAAATGTTCCTAATTTAACGTTTAAAAGCACTTGGAAAAGGCAGAATCCCATGTAAAATTAGCGCAACAAACTGTATTGTCATTACTGGAAATAACAGTATTTTTATGAGGAAGTTATTTTCTGTTATTTTAAGGTAGTATGTTGGTGCCCAAGCTGCCGGAATATTACCGTTTTTTTAAGATGTTTTTTTTAACAGTGTGAGCCATAGACATTTTGAGTAAAGGCGTACTAATAAAGCTTTTGAATTCAAACATGTGCTGGATGGTTTGGCTACCACATTTTATCCCTAACATTTTATGTGCAGCAGTATTGTTCCACTGTCTCTGCAAGAGTTTGAACTCTTTGTTGTAACCCACCCTTCAGGCTGTATAAATTCCAGTGTGTCTGTTGGTCCATTGTTGCCATTCAAATTAAAATATCCAAGTATTTAATGGAAATTAAACTTTAAGCAGTCATTTCTGGACCCAAAGGGATGAATGCTAACAATTTTAGTGATCTCCTGATGCTACCTCGGGTGCCGGGAGGTTAGCATTTACTGGTATGGTTGCATGTGAAATCTCTCAATAATAATAAATGAATTGTCCTGAAATCTGATTAGAGACATCCACATTACTCTGAAGTGGGTCTTAAGTGGGCCAGACCAGTAAAACCATAGCACGATAAACAATTTAATTCTTAATATTCCTCTTTCCCTTTAGTACCTTAAGTCCTGGTCTGTTCTGAAGACGCTCACATTTAATGAACCAACTGGTTAATTCACAGATGATGAACAGCCCGAGATGTTATAGAGACATAAACAGGTCAGAGTTTATATATGATCTTTACTTTGGCTGGTGACCAAATTCCTGCAGAAGATCTGCACTTTCTTCTCAGCAAATCAACAAATGTTTGAAAGCTAACATGCTAAAGCAGTAAGCTGGTCACTAATTTTTGCATCTGTATTTCATGCATCTAGCACCAGTGTGATCCTTATGTGGCCTCTTAACTTTTTAAAGGCCAAAATCTGTTTCCTCCACTTTGATTTAGGGCGTCTTTTCAACCAGAAAGACAATGTCCAGCTTACCCTGGTCGCTACCTTCTGCTCTCTTCATTCTACTTCTAAAGGCCATCTAGTCTTTTCTGTTTTGTGGCTAATTACCCATTTTATTGCCTTTATATGTACATAGAGAAACACAATTAGTCAGAAAAGCATTGCCACCCAAGAGTGTTTTGTCTCTGTGTGAACGTTTTGTGAGATTCCCCTTCCATTCAGACTCTTCGACAATGGAGTGACATTTCTGACAATAGGTCCCTGTTACACCTCTAAGGCAGACAATAGAAACACATTTGCTCCCTGCTGAATCCAGGTTTGCAGCAGCAGTCACCCCGCTGCACTTCTGACCCTGTCTCACACTCACACACACACACACACACACACACACACACACACACACACACACACACACACACACACACCTGTTCCTCTGCACTGAGAAATATTGTCAGAATACCAATACGCATACCCGTGTGCACTCCCAGCCATGAACACACACACACACAGACAGTGCGCAATGAAATCTTTCTCTCTCCTTTTCGCTTTGTTAACAGTGCATCTGTGTTGCTGCCATGGCAACTGTGGCTCCACCCCTCGCATTTCTTCTCCTGCTGCTTCAACTGGCTGATGGCTCATTCCCAGAGGAACCCAGTCCACTCAGCTACGTCCCTGTGGAGGGTATGTGTCCTTCGCCTTTGTGTACGTGTTGTGCACCAGTATATGTGCAGCACTGATGAATGGCTCTGCGGTGGATGTGGAAATTGGAGGTCAAGGGTCAAAGCCTTGGCGTGAAGCTACTTTCGAACTACCCAGGCATACAAATACAAAGAAGCCTCACCTCATCTTTCCATGGCAGCAATAGATTAATAAGCATGAGAGAGGGCACGAAATAAACACAGTGGCGTGTGAGAAATGATCATAATAGAGCTTGAAAGGTGGAGAAAGATGAAAAGGTGGGGGGGTAGTTGGATTGGATGAGGTGATGTAGATGGGAGAGAGGGGGAGGAGACAGGTGGAGATGGATCGCTACGTCCTCTTTCCCTCCCCTGCAGTCAAGGACAGCGAGAGACGCGCTTTCCCAATCTGTCTCCTGATGATGAGGGCTCCCTATGGAGACCTCCTCTCCCAAACTTTCTTGTAGCCTGATACTCCCACCTTCTCTCTCAACCTCATCTTTTACTCCCTCATTTGTCTCAAAGGTAAGAGGAGACAGGGAAGAAGCGCCTTTTATCATCATAAAATAACAGCAAGAGTGATTAAACACAGTTTTTCTCATTGTGGAGCTGCACGCATCAACAACAGCGCAAAAAAGCACAAAAAACCCCACTTAGAGGATAACAGCGTTTCAGCACGCTTGAACCGCTGCATAATTCGTCTCTGCCCATTATCTTTGTTTTTGGAAACAAAAACATCAAGAATGAGTGAGGACACTATTAAAGTGAAGGTTAGAGAAGCTGTTTGATGGCTTGCCTGAGTACTTTGGGTATATATAGATGGGAAAAGTAGCCACTCTGTCCTCAGCTGTCAGAGAATCATTGAGCAAGGATTTTAATTCTCAGTTTTTTAGTCTGTGTCTTTTTGTCTGTGCGTTCACGCCAGTGGTGAGGAGGTATCCAGTGTTCCTGGGCCGAGCTCATCGTTCAGCACAAAGACAGGAGCTGCACATCCAGACGGTCCTCCAAGTCAACCGCACGCTGTACATAGGAGCCAGGTAACCAACAGCAACCACCTCCGACTGTGCGTTACTGATGCGTTCGCACTGATATGTTTTTCTGCTTTCGCTTTGATGCCACGGCTTCCATCTGCTGTCACTTCGTGGAGGACGTTTTCAGCAGTTTGCTGGAGTGGCGATGTATTCAGCTTTGCTGTTAAATGTCAAGTGAAAAGCTGCTCATTCACATTACACTTACAGATGGAAAAATATGAATCGCCTTACTCCAGCGGCAGTCCAAACACTTCTCACTCTGAACGCATCAGAATGTTGTACAAAATGTCCTGCGGGCTCAGTGCTTTGACCCACCATCGCCGTATTGATTAACAATCATGAATTAGCATAGCATAGCATCTTTATTTATAACGCACTTTACATCCAACAATGTTGACCAAAGTGCTACAAATATAAAACATAGAGGAAACAGTTTAAATTACATATAAAATATCTTAAAATTAAAAATAATATAATTAATAAGAAAATATATTAAGAGACATCAACAAGTCCTGCTGTGCTAAAAGCCAAGGTAAATAAATATGTTTTAAGACGCGATTTAAAAACAGATAAGGAAGGTGCCTGTCTAACATGTAAAGGCAACTCATTCCACAATTTTGGTGCTGCCACAGCAAACATCCCTGATCCCCTCTGAGCTTACGATTAGTCCTGGGCACACTCAGGAGGAGCTGGTCTGCCGACCTGAGGGACCAGGAAGGTATGTATGGATGAAGAAGCTCAGAGAGGTACAGAGAGGCAGCATTGGACAAACATTTAAAAACAAATAAAAGCAGTTTAAAATGGATCCTAAAATGCACGGGCAGCCAATGAAGTGAATATAAAACTGGGGTGATGTGCTCGTATCTACGAGTGCCAGTTAAAAGGCGTGCAGCAGCATTCTGGACTAACTGCAGTCAAAAAACAGAAGATCGACTCACCCCATAATAAAGAGAATTACAGTAATCCAGCCGAACGGTTACAAAAGCGTGGATTACTGTTTCAAATTGCTGTCTCGTAAGAAAGTGCTTAATTTTGGCCAGTTGCCTCAGATGAAAGAAACTAGACCTTACAACCAACCCGATGTGGCTTTCAAGCTTAAGTTCAGGAACCATTTTAAAACCCAGATTAACAATCTCTGGTTTACAGAATGATTTCAGGGATTGCAGATCAACACACGGAACAGCAGTGGAGGCAGGTCTAAACACCATTATTTCAGTTTTAGAATCATTAAAACAAAGAAAGTTTAGCGCCAACCACGACTTGACGTCCTCCAGACA